AGTCATGATCATCAACATTTTAATAGGATACAACATCCTTAAAATACTTTCAAATAGAAAATCATGCATAGTTTTTACATTTAATTCAATTTACATCAAAATGGTGCTAAGGCACATAGTTGAATTACAAGGCCATGTTTACTAGCTTAAATACATTTCCAAAGTGATGTTATACAAAAGAATGGCTTGAAGACAAAAATAGCAAAAAAAAATGGACTCCTAGTATCCATTAAGCTTGTAGCGGATTGTCATCCGCCACCTCCTTCCCATGACCTGAAAAATGTTAAATATAAAGGGGTGAACTAATTGCTCAGTAGGTGGTACCTAAAACACACCTCTTGTGACCCCATGAATTCAAACAATGAATAAAATAATAGGGAATTGGATCATGCTATGTTGGGAGAAAATACAACAAATTACAAGACCAAAATGGATAATGGGATGATATGAAATACTATGCTATGCTATGTCGCTTCACATTTTCAAAATCACTTTCATTCTCCACTTTTAAAGCTGTTAACATAATCTGTCCTTCGGTGACTCCTCGACGACACGAGAGAAGGATTTGCTACTATCCTTGACCCTTAGTAACTCCGTGGCGTCATTTGGGGCCCAAATAGCTCAACTACGTTAGGGTGATTTTTCTAATTTCCTCTAGGTTACATTAACACCACGGACCCTCGGTACCTCTTCGGCGTCTGTGTTTTCTCAAAATCATTTATCAAAAATCTTTCTTAAAACCCCTTTTCATTACAAAACAATTATTTTCTATTTTTTTTCTTACTCAATGCTATGCATGAATGCATCATGCTTTTCCATGTCATGTCAATGACCACTATCATACATCTAATTTAAGTTCAAGTCGCATAGCATAATTTTATAAGAACTCCCAAAGGAAATATCATGCTTTCACATCATGAAATTTGGTAAATTCTAAACATAATAGACATAAAATATTATCAATTAAGCATGTTTTTCATATAAATCAACTACTACACATAGTCATGAACTTCATATACCACATTTAAATCATTTTAAGCATAATCAATATGAATTAAGCATGCTTGATAACAAATTACATACAATTAGTTAACAAAAGTACAAGAATGCATGGATTAGAGACCCCTACCTTAATTTGTAGAAAAACCCTCAAATGGGTCCAACTTTCGAAAATCCTAGGGTGGCCAAAAGTGTGAATTGCTTATATCAATGCATAGATCTTACCGGGCTCTTCGATTTGCCGCAAACTGCACCCAAAAATTTCAACAATTGAAGAAGTAATCAAACAGAAGCCCTTATTTTCATATTTGCCCTTCCTTGCCTTAATTCTGAATCTACTTCTTGGAAGAAAATAAGTAGGTTGACTCATTTCGCTGCTATAGGAGACTCCACTTTTTCCATTCTTTGGTCGTATAAGTGCGGAAATTGGGTTTACAGCTTTTCCAGCTATATCTGACAGCATTTTTGCTGTTTTCTCTTAGTCTTCTTAAGTAAAAGGACGGTTAGGACGATTTTGTGGGGTTTTTAGCCCAACTTCCACCTTTGCTTGGAAAGCTATGTTGCATGCATCAATCACTATGAAGGCCATTCCCCCAACTGAGTCAGCAACAGGAACTTGAACCAGGGATGCAAACTCAAAATCTGGTGAGAAGTATGCAAGAAGCTGGAAGGCTGAGGGAAGAACATTTTTTTAGTATATCATCCCCTAATTCAGCTATTGCTACATTCATTGTCTTTCCGGTATGGGTTTGGTTGCGAAGATGGATAGCGTTCTCCTCTCTGACTTCAATGACCCCCTTTTGGGGGGTGAATGAAAGATTGAGACCTTGAACAAGTTGCAAAGCGAGTTCTTCTCTCCATTCGTTTCGGTGTACATTGATGCGTTGAACTCTGTTAGGAGCATCTGCCCTCGGGCTATCTTTAATGTCAGAGAGGGCTTCTCAAATATGTACTTCAGGGGGTCCATCCTTGCTATAATATAAGCATGGTGATTGAAGTTTCCAAACAAAGGATAAAGAAAAAAGATAAAAAAAAAAGTGAGGGAGAGAGATATCTTACGAGGAGAGAGAGAAATGAGACCAAATGTGGTCTTTTGGCCAATAAAAATGGTAGTGGTGGGTCCCACCATTTTAAAATATCTTTTTCTTGTAAATTTTCTACCACAAATTCATATAAATGATTTAATTTAATATAACTACACAATTAAACACTAAAACAATTTACTTAGGCATAAAAATAATTATGGATGGCATTCAAATGATTTGAGACACAACTCCCGTATACAACAATTCCGGTAGCGGGTCTCATCCAGGACCGTCCGGCCCGAAAAATGAAAAAATGCCGAAATGGTAACCCTTACAATTCAAAGAGTCCTAAATTTAATGAAATGCCCCAACCAACTCTCAGACCCACCCGGCACACTCAAAAAAAGACGAAAATGCCCTTGCAAAAACAAAAAATGAAAAATGGTTAAAAAAAATAAAAAAAGAATTGGAAACATTACAGAATTTTCTTATTTATTATATATATATATATATATATATATATATATATATAAAGTAATATTAGGGGAGGTTGTTCACTTGTTCATCAAATCAAGAAAATAATTATTTAAATGGCAGGAAATAATAAATTTTTCGTTGGATTGCATTTATATTACGTTTCAGGGCATCTGTTTTAAAATTGGAATTGAAAATTTTTTAATATAAAATTTGAATTAAATTTTTTCCAGTGTAAGCTTTGCACTTGTTTTATATGATATTTTTGCTTCGTGATATCAAAAGGCTATATAGAAGATTAACAGTACACATCAACTTTGCATAACATTAAATTCATTGATCATCAAGTCGCCAGCTAGCCCTCTGCATACGCAAGTTATTTATGAGGTCGGAAGTGGGGAGATGTTCATCTCGTCCATATTATTAATCTATCATCCTAACCTATCAGATGTTTTAAAGATGAGGTAACCATATTCATTATCAGATGGAAAAAATATTGGTTCGCATTTTTTTTTTTTTTGTGTGTGTTGATAAACTGAAAATATAGGTTTTATGATGATGATGATGATGGGGTGATGGTTGTGGTTGTGGTTGTGGCGGTTGAGGTGTGAGATGCGGCGGTGGTGGTATATGTGGCGGGGGTGGTTGGTGGTGATGTATATATACATATATGTGATATATATATATATATATATATATATATATTGCGTGTGGGTGATTGGAGGTTGGTGGTCGTCTGGACGTCGCCTCTTCTTCTCCGACTCTAGACGTCACCGCTTCTTCTCCGCCATTGAATCCATTGCAGACGATGGTGATGGTTGTGTTGGGGAGAGTTTGCGATGCAGAGATCTTAGAGAGTGAAACAGACTTAAAATCCAAAAAATAATACTAATAATAATAATAAAGTGAAATAAAAAAAAAAAAAAAGGTCAGCTACGGATGTAGACACGTGAGTGAATTGAAATAATATGTGAGGTATAAAAGTTTAATAAATTAAGGATAAAAGTATACATAAAATAAATGAAGGGTAATTCAAGTATTATATTTTATCAATTTGAAAAAAATAAATAAAATAAAAGTGCCATAGTTAGATAAACCAAATGAGAGAGTGTCATAATAAAAATGGTTGAGATTTAATATGAAAATAATAAATCCAAACTTAAAAAAGCATGAGAGCGTTTAACCCATTATTAATTTATTCACTGCAATAAAGGGAAAAGTCCTTGGTCCAATTGATCGCCTTGTTGTGGCAAAGCCCTATCACCACCTTCTTTCTAGTCCAGTCCCTAATCCCTATAAATGCAATTAGTCTTTCTTATAAAATTACTTTATTGACTGCAAAAGTCCTCGGTTTACTAGTAACGACTCGTTTCCCGTGAGTGGTGGCGGCAGGAAATCGAGTTTTACTTCGAATTGTTGCCCAACAGCTAGGTCAGCACCTCTTAGGGCCAATATTACAAATTATTTTGTAGTCTATAGTCACATGATTTCGATTAATCCCACCGTATTCCAATTAATGTGTTAGTTTTATTTAAATTTTTAATTGCATAATTTTCTTTCATTGGTGGAATCAGGAAAAACCAGAATTTTATTTTAAAGGGGTACAATGCACTTGTTAAAAAATAATAATAATAAATTTGACAAATATGAAGTATAATTTTTTTAAATCAAAGACAAACAAAAATAAAACAGTTATAAAATAATATGCTAAATAAATACTTTAAAAAAAAATATAGTTACAAATATAAGAATCAAAATATTGATTAATAATATTTTAATTAAATATAATTACAAATGTCATCAATAAAAAAAAAAAAAATTAGAAAAATACATAATTATACATAAGTGAAAAAGGAAAAAAATTAGAAAAGGAAAAATATATGGTATCCTTGACGAAGGGGATATATGTAATTTTTTGTTTTTTTTAAAAGGAAATTAGAAGAATTTGAAAATTGTAAGGGGATATTATTTAAAATTACCATATAAGTATATGTATATAGCAAAAATATGTATTCATGTATAGTAGATTGGAGCAAGTTGGGGGGGGGGGACGTATCTACTCTGGCCTTAATTGACTCCGCTTCCAAGATCGCATAGAATTTTTAATGTCACTAAGAAAATTTCCTAATTTTCAACCACCGTGCACGAGAATTTATGCTACTTCAATCATAACAAAGATGACGTTCATTTGTTTCAGTGGAAGACCTGGAATTTTATAGCAAACAACTGATAAGATGGTATACCATATTAGTCAGGCTAGTCTCTAATGACTTTTCCGTTCAAAGGGAACAATGTAAGGAGACCATAAATTAGGAAAATAATGTGCATTTTTCACCATCTTTGAATTTTGAATTTCTGATTCATTGACTTCTTAGATCAATTACGTGCTGTGACAGTTTCTAGTACTTCACAACTCCACCATTTTTATTTTCCTTCCTCATTTTAGGTTTATGACAAACGGTGATCAACCACTCATTTTAATTATCATTGTGGTTAATTACCATGTTTTCTTACACATACAGTTTCTGTAAGAGTTTTGTGATTGTTTCCGTGCTTTGGTTGTTCTTTCCCAATACTATTATAACAGAAGCTGCCCCATCCTACCGCGCCCATATATGTACTAATGAAACAACATACACTTCCAATACCACTTTTCAATCTAATCTCAATCTCGTCCTCTCTTATCTTTCTTCCAATGATACCACCATTAATGGATTTTATAAAGCAACAGCTGGTCCTGATGTCCCTGACGTGGCTTATGGCCTCTTTCTGTGTCGTGGCGACGTTGCAGGTACTGATGTGTGTCAAGACTGTGTGGCTCATGCGGTGAAAGAAACAGTCGAGCAATATTGCCCCAACCAGAAAAAGGCAATTATTTGGTACGATGAGTGCATGTTACGTTATGCCAACCAGTCTTTTTTCTCCACCATGGAGGAATCACCGAATGTGAATGTGTGGAATCCAAATAATGTGACAGAACAAGATCGGTTTGAGCAATTGCTGGGAGAAACGGTGGATGATTTAGCGAATCTGGTTTCAAATGATGAGTCTGGAAATGTTACGAGGTTTGCAACTCAAGAAGCTGACTTCACAGCTTTTCAGAAGCTACATAGCCTGGCGCAGTGCACACCAGATCTATCCCGGAGTGATTGTAATAGATGCCTTAGAGTGGCTATATCTATTCTACCAACTTGCTGTGTTGGGAAGCAAGGGGGGAGGGTTTTACTTCCCAGTTGTAATATTAGGTTTGAGATTAGCCCATTTTACACTTCCGTAGCCACCGTGCCACCGCCTACACCAATACTACTTTCTCCTCCTCCACCTGCTCGAACCCCTTTAGCAAGTCCTCAAGGTAAAATTTTAAAGAATTAAAAAAAAAAAAATTAGTTTTCAAACTGGTAGTTAAAACTAATTAAAGCAAACTGATTTAATTTCCTTAGGTCGAATTCAAAAAACTATACAGGAAGTGCTCATCTGCTCACTGATTAAATTTTCACTTCCTCTTTGGAGAAATTCTCTTTTACCTTGTTTGATATATATATATATATATATATATATATATATATATATATATATATATATATATATTGCTTTTCTAGAATATTGAAGGGATTTTTTTTTTTTTTTTTTGGATGCAGGGAAAGGGATAATTTCGTCGCAAACAATTGTTGTCATTGTTGTTTCAGTGGGTGTGTCCGCGGTACTTCTCTCAGTAGGTTGCTGCTTCCTAGTTAGGAGAGCAAAGAAACGGTGTTATGCCATGGAAGAAGAAAACGGTGAGAGACAAGTTAACAAGTTTATTTCCTGAAGCATATAATAATTCTGTGACATTAATTTGTGCTTCTTTTGTGATGTAATTCAACACTCGCATTATTTGGCTGTGTAGTTGGGAGTGATATGACGACGGTAGAATCATTGCAATTTGATTTGGGTACGATTGAAGCAGCCACGAACAACTTCTCCATTGAAAACAAGATAGGTCGAGGCAGATTTGGTCAGGTCTACAAGGTAAGAAGTTAGTAACATCTAATGTACTACCTATAATATATGTTAACCAAATCTGATCAGTTTAAAGAAATCAAATATTCTTAAAGATGAAATTCTATGGGGAGATCTTAAAATTATTATTGCATATTTACAGGGTACTCTCCCCAGTGGACAAGAAATAGCTGTGAAGAGGCTGTCAAAGAGAGAGAGTTCTGGCCAAGGCACAACAGAATTTAGGAATGAGGTGGTCGTTGTAGCAAAGCTTCAACATAGAAATCTAGTGAGACTAATGGGATTTTGCCTTGCTGAAGAGGAAAAGATACTCATATATGAATATGTTCGCAACAAAAGCCTAGACCTCTTTCTGTTCGGTTAGACCCTTTGAACGTATCTTTTGAATTATCTTTTTGCCTTTTGAATCCAATAACAACAGGTGCATGATTTCCATGGTTGAGTGCATTTACTGTTTGCACAAGACGAAGTTAAAACTTAAAATGTGCCAAAGGGCAATTGAATATATAGGGAATACAGAATATCGTTCCTTTAGGAATTAAACCCCTTTTATTTACTTGAATCATTCTAACTCTGATTCTTCATATTTTAGTTGAGTATCTATTACTATGAAGGTAGATGTTGAAAAACAAGGACAATTGGACTGGTCGAGACGCTACAATATTATAGGAGGTATAGCCAGAGGGATGCTTTATCTTCATGAAGATTCCACGCTAAGAATTATTCATCGTGATCTCAAAGTCAGCAATATTTTGTTAGATGGGGATATGAACCCTAAAATTTCAGATTTTGGCCTCGCAAAGATTTTTGGTGTGGATCAATCTCAAGGAAATACAAGAAGAATTGTTGGGACAGTGTAAGTTCTTGATTCTTCCATTCACTTTTCTATGTGTGTTTTACAATTTACAACCCTCTGTGAAGAATCATTGGCATTAAGAACAATGTTACCAATTTAAAATAACAAGTACAAAATCATTAGCTAACTGGGTAATTTCAAGAAGCAATCTTCCTAGTCTTTTAATTTGTATTTATTTGCTTTTTTTCTTTCTTTTTGGGTTCTAGACTAACTGATGGTGCTTGCTTGTAGTGGTTACATTTCTCCAGAATATGCAATGCATGGAAAGTTTTCTGTGAAGTCCGATGTGTTTAGTTTTGGCGTTTTAATTCTAGAAATTATCAGTGGAAAGAAGAGTAGTAACTTCTATAAATCACGCACTGCCGAGAGCCTTTTGAGTTATGTGAGTACAAAAATGAGATTATTATTGTTTTTTTCCTTTGTCATTGCTGTTATTATCATATCCATGTTGAAGAAAAAAAATGGAGGAAACAATATCAAAAGTCTGAACACCACTTCATATATAATTGTAGGCTTGGAAACAATGGAGGAATGGGACTCCATTGGAATTGATGGATTCAACATTGAAGGACTCGTATTCAAGAAATGAAGTGGTCCGATGCATCCATATAGGTTTGTTGTGTGTTCAGGAAGATATGAAAGCAAGGCCCTCTATGGCATCTGTATGTCTCATGCTCGACAGTCTTTCTGTGAGTCTTCCATTGCCTCGAAAAACTGCATTCTCTGCTTACAGCAGAACAGAGTACTTGAGCGTGCAAAGCTTAGGCAATCAAGGGAGTGGTCTCTGAATGAAGCATCCATGACTGAGTTTTGCCCCGGATAAAGTGAGAAAGCTTAGGCAATCTAAAAATATATGTATGGACCATATGGTGTGGAAGTGTGAAATCCATGTGTAATCTCACAGTATATGAATGTACTGCCTATGGTTGAATGGTTTTAATTATATCCAATTCATGATAAATAGATTCATTCACTATATAGGAGTTATGTTCTCCGGAGGGGAGAAAAATCAGATCAAGTTTACAGGCGTTGTTAAACTAAAAAGAGCTAGCAAAAGCTCAAAATATGTTCAGCAACTTTGTAACAAGTTTGCATACATTTTAGTTTCTCATAGCTCGATAATGCTCGTATATGAGAGAAGATAATCACTACATGTCCAACTAATTAAAATATACTATTATATGAAATTGGTGACACTTATTTTTGAAACTTATTCTCAATATCCACTCCGCATCTGTCAATTCATAGGCATAATTAGACTGACCTTCCCTCTAAATATGCTAAATTACACAAACCTCCATTTAGTTGTAAAAAATTACTCTGTCTCCCTTTTAACAAATCTATAAAGAAATTGACAAAAAGATTTTTCAATTTATTAATGCATCATTTCTTATTCTATAATGTCAAACTACTAGTTATACAATTTTCACTTTTTTTTTGTTTTTTGTTTTTTTTTTTTTTCCTTAGCTAGTAATTACACACCCATATCTCCATGGAGGCTCGAACCCTAACCTTCCTTTGAGAAATAGAGATCTGGTACCGTTGGGCCACGGCTCGTTGGTCACTTTTTTTTTTTTTTTTTTTTTTTTTTAGAGAGGTCTTCTGAAAGAAATAATTTATTTAATTTTTACTTGTAACGACCCAAACCCAGGGGTCCGAATTGTTAACCAGGTCCTTACCTGAACCCTAGGTCATGCAAGGGTACCTTGGTCATTTCCCATTAATTTAATACTCTAAGGCCCAACAAGGGCAAAATGGTCATTTAAACATAATTATAATGGTTTAAGACCCAAAAAGGGTAAAACGGTCATTTACCAATGTCATCCAATGATTATTATGAAGTCCGAGGGTAATAGAGTCATTTTCTTGGTTAAAAATAATTAATGTATTTTATTGGGCAATATAGTAATTACAAACAACTTTAAATGGGTGATAAAAGATAATTAGGAAAATTAAATCACAAATGTGTATAAAACAGGAACCGGTCAACGTGTGTACATTACACGTTGACTGGTTTGGGTCATCTACAGTGACGTTGCTCACTGCCTAAAAATAAGAGATACCAGTCAACGTCAACTAATAGAGTGAATCGGTCGACGTGAACACTTTCAGGCCGATCGGTTTGTGCCGTGTACAGTGGAAGCACACTGTCCGAAATTTGGACATACCGAAACTTCCCAAATTTGTGTGTCTCTGTCTTTATTTGGCCAATCAATACGCACTCAATTATACGCACTTACACCACCACCAAAACACTACTCATTTACCACCATCGGACGCATTTAATCCAATTACAATTTTAATTGTACAAAACCCAACCATCCAACAACAAAAATAAAATACGTGGCATACGTTACATGTTTAAGACCATTAAAGTCTTGAATACAATGCTTATACAAAATAAATGAAGTATCGACATTTTTCAAATAAATTACATCTACTAAGCATAAATTACAAAATTTCCAAGAATGTATCAGCCAATCATAACTATATTTGTGAGGTCCGTCTTCAACCACGTCATGGTCATACCCTTAAAAATGGTAATAATGGGGTGAGCACAACGGCCCAGTAGAAAGTGCCTAAAATGCACTCCTTAATGACCCCGTGAATCCAAACAAAGAATGCCATAAAAAGAGAGGGATCACATTTATTTCGGGGAAAAAATATATAATTACATACAATCCACACATCACAAATGCAATGTTATGCAAGTCCATGAAATGAGATGTCACTCCCCATTTCCAAAGCCTTTACCCAAATCAATTTCCTTTGTTTCCAAACCAAATTCCCCTTTTCTTGTCTCGTGCTAATGCATGAATGCCACATACACTTCAATACCATAAAAACTCATAAGTTACACGACAAACATACTAGCATGCCTTATCCATCAAACACTACCACAATTTTCATGTTCTCAACTACACAACCAAAACAGGTTAACAAGTAAGGCATAATTTAGATATGTAAGAAACTAGCACAATTACCAAATAAGAACACCCAACTCATTTTTCATAGAAAAACTTCAACAACCATAACAAAAATTCAAAATTTTCACATGCTATACTCACATCATAGGAAATAATTCGCTAAAAACAAAGGTTTTACGGTTTAGGAACCCCTACATCAAGGAAGCAAGCCAAACAAGCCCTAAGCTTCCCAAAATTTCGAAATCCTTCCAAGCCCTAGCAATATTGGTCTCAATTTGAAGGTTATGCCAAGCTCTCCACTTTCCCTTATATGGCTACCTTGAATTTTCACTCTAAACTCCTCAAATCAAAGGTTTTAAGCATGGAGGTGTATATAGTTTTATAGATATAGGAAGAAAGAAAAGGAAATCTAGGGGGAGGGGGTTTCCAAAAAAAATTGAAGGAGAAGAGGTTGATATTTGGGTTTTGCCTTTTTGCTCTAAGGCCACAAGTGTGCCACTTGTCCTAACACTACAAGAAAAACTGTTTTTTACCATGCTTTTTTTTACTATGGTTTTAAAAAAATCGTGGTAGAAAACCCTTTTTACCACGGTTTTAAAGTAACCGTAGTAGAAAGTATATTTGTTACCACGGTTATTTTAAAACCGTGGTAGAAGACCCTTTTTACCACGGTTTTAGAATAACCAATAACCGTGATAGAAAGTATATTATTTTACCACGGTTATTTTTATAACCGTAGTGGAAAGTAAATTATTTTTAATATAATTTAGGTGGGTCTTTCTACCACGGTTATTTTAAAACCGTGGTAGTAAGTATATTCTTCTACCGTGATAGAAAGTAGATCACAGTTTTAAATACTTTCTTCCACGGTTTTAAAATAACCGTGATAGTAAGTATATTCTTCTACCAAGGTTATAAAATAATCTTGGTAGAAAGTGAATTATTTTTTATGTAATTTAGACGGGTCTTTCTAACATGATTATTTTATAACCGTGATAGAAAATGAATTTATTTATCCTACCCCGGTGTACGCACCATGAGAGAAAGTGAATTTACTGTCACCCGCTTAAGCGCGGGTCTTATTCCCGCTGGTTGCCTAAAAAAATTTAAAAATATATATATTTTATATACAAAAATATATTTACTCACATGTGTTAGGGAAAATCATTTCAGCCCTCCCCAATCGCCTCCATCTCTATTCTCGTTCTTAACTTGGCCCTCTCTCTGTCTCTGCAACTGCAAAGTACAAATTCTACAAGAATCAAACCCATATCGGCATATCAGATATGATTTTAAATAACGATGACGATGATGATTTTGAATCACCCACAAACCCTCAAGCTTCTCCGGCGAGGTCGCACCACCGAATCCACATCGGCCACCCAGAGGCGGGAGTTATGGCGTAGTGTCAATGAAGAGATTGAAGAGTTTTCTTCACAGGAGGATAAGGGTGAAAGTAAGACTAGTGACTTGTCTAATCTTTGAATGCTGTTTCTCTTTTGTTCTTGAATGTTATTGCTCGTATGGTTGCTGGGAAAATGTGGAAAAGAAAATGAATTGAAAATTCACATTTTAGGGTTTCATTCATTTGGTACCCAAGTATGTATCTTTGGTAATTCGAGGTTTATTAAACTATATTTAGCTTGATTGAGATGGGCTTTTCGTTTTTCTAACATCCTAAAATAATAAAAGGCATAAGTTTTAAATTTTAATTTGTACTTTCTGTTTCCCCTTCTCATGTTGCCTGGCAAACAAATGGAAAATGATACTCTGTTTATAGTGGAAACTTGAAATCGCCTCCATCTCTATTCTAGTTCTTAACTCTGAACTTGCCCTCTCTCTGTCTCTGCAACTGCAAACTACAAAATCTACAAGAATCAGAACCCATATCGGCATATCATTTTAGATTGTTCAAAATATCAAAACCATATCCTTCAGCTTTCATCGCTTGCTGTTCCAGTTCGGGTTCGCCGTTCGCAAGCTTCAGCCTCTGGTCCGCTGTCTCTCAACTCTCAAGCCCTCTTTTTGCAACTGCTAACTTGTACACAGCCAGTCTCAAGTAAAGTGATGCACTTCTTGCAAGGCCATGGTAACACAACTTGTAACAGCCAACGTTGAAATTACATGCTATGGGTTAATATTATGTGGACTAGCTCAATTAAGGATTAGGCTTTGATGATTTTTTTGAGACCCCTTGACGATGAGCTGCTACGTAATAGCTCTTGCTTAGTTTGAATTCACGTGTATTGATGGACAACATTCTTTTATGATGTTTGTATGTATTTTTGGAGGAAGGAAAAGATTTAGAAACCTACCCATTTATTTTGGTGTGGCATAAGAAGCTAAAAATTTGTATAGGGTTAATTTTTGTATAAAACAATGATTTGGAATTGGTTATATATATATATATATATATATATGTATGTATGATGTTATTAGTTAGTTGTAAGTTATT